TAGGATCCGAAGAAATTTTTTAGTAATATGTTAGATGAATTACTTTTAGAACGATCACTTCACGCTCAGTTTAAAACAATCAGGCGTAATATTGATTAAAGAAAAGCAATTTTTTCCGGTAACATTTTACTCTTTAATTTGAATTATATCACATGCATTTGTAATTTATTTTTTTTTGCAGTGGTTTCAACTTAAAAATTGGTTCGCGCTCTCTTCTAGCGTCAGATTGAAAAAAGAAACGAAATGAGCCTTTTGATCACAGCAACGGAAGAATTAACATTGAATAGCATTTTTTAAGTATTTTTTTTACAGACTTTATTTTTGTGAAAATCTTTCACGCTACATTCATCACAAATTGTTATAAGAGGGTTTTAAATGATTAGATTTTTTTTTGAGGAATAAATAATAAATAGTTTTGTAATTGGTTAAAATCAATAAAAAATACATGTCAAGATTTGAAAATAAATGTCTGCTTTAACTTATAACATTATTGTGAAATTTCCGAGGTTTACGTGAAAAACATTTATGCGTTGTTTTTTCTTATTCCACTTGATAGACAGCAGCATCCAGTCCAAGACCCCGTGCGGTTTCATGAAAGGCGGGAAGGGGGACTTCTGTTATAATGGAGTACCCGTAGGTAGAAGTTTGACTTAGCTCCGTGAAGCTGACTTTTTACGGGTAGGCTTGAAAGCCTTACGCCCAACAATCACATTAGACCGGAACCTGCGGCTTAAAGTGGATTCCGAACCACTACAGACATCCATGGCATCGCCGAAACTCGAACACGAAATTTGTGGACCCGGTCTTATATGATTGCAGAGAGTTGGACATAGGGCTGACAACCCTACCCCGTAAAAAGTCAGCGTCTCGGAGCCAAGTCAAACTTCTACCTACGGGTGCTATTATAACAAAAGCTGCGCCCCCTACTTCCATGAGACCACACGGGTTCTTGGACATGATCAGATGCTGCTGTCTATTATCACACTAGATATACAGCAGAATGTGATCATGTCCAAGAACCCGTGTGGTCTCATGGAAGTAGGGGCATCTTTTGTTATAATAGCACCCGTAGGTAGAAGTTTGACTTTGGCTCCGTGACGCTGACTTTTACAACAATAACTTTGTTATAGTATACAGTTTCACTTGCCTAGGTTAATTTTGCTTCATTTTAACCCCATTTACCAAGTAGCAAATACACAGTTTCGTAGATAAGACCACAGTTGCCAAGTCAGACTTCTACTTACGGGTACTCCATCACAACAGAAGCTGATGTCCCCGTTTTCCCTTTTCCATGAGGCCACACTGGTTCTTGGACTTGGTCTAAGGCCAGGGGTGGCCAACCCGCGGACCGCCTTGAATATTTTTCCGGCCCGTTAAAGATTTTAACATAATATTCTTGCGAATATATGACAGATACTGCCTGTTTTATTTTAAATATATAGTTATGAGTTCGCAGAATAATGAAATTATATTGTGGCCCGAAAGATCATTTGGGTTGGCCACCCCTGATGTAGATGTTGCTCTCTACCAAGTGCGATACGCAACAACAACACAACAAGATATAACTTGACTGTAAATTCTTATAGTTCAGATGGTATGAAAAGAATTTTAGTAATTTAATCAGTTTTCAAGATCAATTTTGTTTCCTACCTCTTGGTACGGGGAGGTTGTAGAGCAGAAAAAAATATAAAATGTTCTTGGAATGCATACCAATTATTCGAAACGACATCACCTAGAATTTAATTCATTATTCATCGGGAGGGTATGACCTTTTAATTTCCCTCTATTCTTCCGCGCCGAAGTGGATTCGGAAAGCAGACGATATTCAGGGACTTGACCTGCGGAGGAAGGGCGTTCTTGGGAGGGGTGGGGAGGGGGAGGGGAGAGTCGACCCACTTTCTTAATAAATCGGTTTCTTCTTCCTTCTGGAGGTTTCACTTTGCTACTTTTCATTAGTGGACAAAAGTTATTTTCGTACAAGGTGACTCGGCGTTTTCGGCGAATACTCTGGACTCTTCAGGTAGGTACAGATTAACTCCCTTCATTTAAGTGTCGGTAGAATGTTTTGTTATTAATCCTGGAGAGATTCGTTTGCTTTGCAAAAGTAAATGTAAAAAGTTTAATGCTATTGTAGTCGGTCTTCACTTATGTACTTCTTTGTGAAATATCAGGCAATGAAAAATTTTCTTGAATGATGTTTTTGATACTAAAATGTAGTATTTATGTTGGCTTGAATGGCCGAGTGTCTGGCGATCGGTGCCATAGGTTTCGGATTCCAGTCTCAGCGTTTCCATGGATGTTTGTAGTGCTTCAGAATCCACTTTAAGCCGTAGTTTCTGGTCTAATATGACTGTAAGAGAGTCACGGAGCCAATTCCAACTTTTTACTTACGGTGCTGGTACGGTAGATTACTCACGAGATGTCCGTCCCGCACTGCAGGACACTGAGGATTAGACACACATTGTTTATATTTGTGACGAAATATGGATTTCTCATGAATTGAAAGTAAAAGTTTTTCGATTATTAGTTTAATTAATTGAGAGTTATAATTTAAGTCAGAAAAATTCACTAATCTGTAAAATAGACATTCTAATACCCTGACAACTACACACACACAAATTCAAGGTAAACAATAACTTTAATGCTGAAGTTAAAGTATTCGCTTGATGAGGAACACACAAAACTTATTAAATATGCATATATCATGTTCATCAATTTATTTGGCTAAAAGAAAGATTTTTTGCACCTTTTATTTCTGAATTTTAAGCATGCTAGAGTAATAGTCAATGAGCTAAAGTATTTATTCAATGAGTTAGAATAATATTTAATGAATTAGAGTATTTAGAGCGCTATTCAATGAATTGGAATAGTAGTCAATGAACTAGGGTATTTGGAGTAGTATGCAATGAATTGGAATAGTCAATGAACTGGGGTATTTAGAGGAGTATTCAATGAGTTAGAATAGTACTTAATGAACTAGAGTATTTAGAGCAACATGCAGTGAGTTATAATAGCAGCTAATGAGCTACCGTAACAGGCAATGTGTTAAAATTAATTAAATTTGCAGTAAAGATAATAGTTTGAATTTCGTCTTAAGGATGAGAATAATTTTTTTTCGGATTAATGTTAATTGTGGAAATCATTTAATTCCTATTTTTATAATGAAAATAGGAAATAATTTAAATTACAACGTGTATACTGATCAACGTGGGAACGAGGCGTTTTCCTGTGATTTAAAAATATTATCATTTTTAAAATATTGTTTGCTAAATAAATTTTCGAAAATTTATTTTACAGCACGTAAAAACTGTTTTTTTAAACATATTGCATGTTTATGCTATTTATTTGAATTCAATAAATAGCAACACATCGTTAAATAAAATTATGATTCATTAAACCTATACAACAAAAATATTTTGCGGAAAAAATTTGCATTTCTAATAGATTAACAACGGAAGTCCAATATGTTTTTTATATACTAACAACAGAGATCAAATAATATCCGATAATTTTTTATCAATTATTTATTATTATTTCTATTCTTAAATTTTTTCGTTGTTATTGTGGAACATCGAATGATGCTCCATTTTTGTGTTCCACTTTTGCTTGGAAGGACATTACCTTCCAGGAGAACTTTTAAGGGTACCTGGGCCGTATTGTGTCATATAAATAAAACCTGAAAAAGCCTAAAACGAGAAATCCTAATTATAGATGCGAGACACTTCGCACTCAATATAACAATTCCCTTCTGTAAGCAATCATTGCATCTTTTCTGTAAGCAATCATTGCTACGAGTGCTACCAGCGGATTTAAACCTTAGGGCTTGGCCTCTGCTTGCAGAGGGTTTGGGTCATTACTACTGAACCACGAATTGCTCTTTTTGTATCATATGCTGATAAAATCTTTCGTATTTTACAATGTTATTGAAGATATTAAGGAAACCCAATCTGTGCTACTTCGCACAGCAAGTTGCCCCCAATCGAAAACAAACATCGAACGCATCCGCCTTCGTGAAATATTCAGTTCTAAAAACAGCATTCGAAAGCGTCCCGTATCGGAAGAATCTGTTGCTTTCGCCCGCATCCTTCATCATGTGCCGGCGAAACCTACTGCGTGACACGAATGCCAAATATCATCTACTACGCCTTCGCCAACAGAAGAAACTTTCGTTGCTGGCCTATTTGCTGGGGTTTCCGGCTCGAACGCCTCCTTTCACCTGCTCAAGAGGTCGAAAAACCGATTTCGAATCTTAACTGTCAAATTCGCCTATTTGTGACAAAACGATTTTATTTAATACAAATGAGTCCTGATTATTAACTTCATTTTGGGATTTTCATATACACAGACTTTGGAAACCATGGCATGACTCATTGTAACTTTATAGCATCTACAAAAAAGGGTGAAATAAACCTTGATAATTATCTAGGATATTTGAATCCTATTTTTTATATATTAATTAGAAATAATATAATAAAACACTACTGTATTTTGTGATGTTTGATTTATTTGATACATGCTTTAGTATTGTTTTCTACTTTTGTAGGTAAATGATAAGGTGAATTATATTTTTAATGATTCATTTCTTTTTTTTTTTTTGCATTCATGTTAAAAATGTTTGTTCATAAATACGTTTTGAGTTAAATAGGTTTGGATATTTTAATGTATTATTCAGCAGCAAACTCATCTACTTTCTTAAGTGCCATTTTAAAATGGAACATGTTTTGGGCATTACGTATGGTGGAGATAATAAAAATACGTAAACAGAGATCCTGTATTCAACAACATTGAAATAGAAAACATAAAAAAAATATTTATTTAATGTCTACTTTTTATAACGTTAAAACTGGACGTTTGACTGTCTCTTTTAATCTTTCACCAAAATTTGAAAAACTTTCAAACACATTAAAATATATAATTCTTAAGTAATATGAAAAAATCATAATGCGAAATATATTCCATGATATATAGATCCCTGTTCTAATAGTATTTCTATAATTATTCCCCGAAGTTAAGCATCATTGGGCGCGGTCAGTACTTGGGTGGGTGACCACCTGGGAACACTGCGTGCCGTTGGCAAATTTGGGACCTGAATGGCCGAGTGTCTAGCGCTCGGTGCCACAGGTTTCGGGTTCGAATCCCGGCGGTGCCATGGATGTTTGTAGTGGTTCGGAATCCACTTTAAGCCGTAGGTCCCGGTCTCCTATGACTGTAAGAGCGTCACGGAGCAAAAGTCAGGCTTCTACCTACGGGTGTTCCATCACAACAGAAGCTGCTTCCTTCCCCTTCAATCATGAGTCCATATGGGCTCGTGGGCTTGGCCAGCCAAGTGGGATAAGAAACAACAACAACAACATAATTATTCCTTTTATCTATTGTCATAATGGTGACTTTTCACGTTTAATCCAGTAGTTTGTTGGACTCAGTTAAATAAAACCATATGCATCTTAAGATATATAAAATGCAACATTAGCGTTACTGTAATGGTAAACTGCATGCAAAATATACCAACTACAATCATAAACATAAATATTTACTCCTATATATCCTGTGGCTATTTATTTGTTATGTACATATTTGTCTTTTTTTTCTTTCTAGAATTTGGAAGTATTGTTATAATGCTCAACTGTGACTTAGCAATCAGAAAATTCGTTAGTTTGATCATCATCTTAGGCAATTAATGCCACTGATTATTGGGATAATGCTATGTACACCATGTTATAGTCATCATATTTATATTCACTTTTTTCTCAAAAACCATGAACTTTAGAGGGCTGTTATTTTTATGGGACCTAGAAGGACTTGTTTTACGTATTTTAAGATTAAATTTTTAATTCTTCTTAAAAATTAAAACTTAATAAAGAAAATTAAGTTAAAGGTTAAAAAAAAGTGAAAATAACCTTTTTTACTTTTAATTTTTCAGATTCTTAAAATGATGTTGCCTCGATCCAGAAGAGCTCTGGTGCTTTTGATGATGTTCCTGATTTGTTCCCAGGGATTCGCTTCAGACGAATCTCCTCCAACCACACATCGTCGTGAAAAACGTGGCCTCATGAAGATGATGATGCACATCATGTGGGATCCCGTCCGTCTCATCAGGTATTGGTACGCATACGACGTCACCAAAGAGATCGCCAAGAGTTGGCGGAAGATCATACCAACCATGTTGCTGTTGCCTTTCCACCCTAATGCTGCAGACATGCCTGGAATTGCTAAATACGTCCACCCAACCCACGGACTAAGAGCCACCAAGCATCACAAGAACACAAAACCCTTCGCCTATCCAGCAGCAGCCAGTGGGGAAGTCTATTCAGCTAGCCAATTTTCCAAAGACTATTTTATAGCTGCAGATCCGTCCCAATTCTCGCCAAATTCTGGCGTTGTTTTTGAAGGACCTCACAAGCAGCCCTTGACAGGATCTTCTTCCAATGTGGAGTCTGTTCCGGCAATCTTCCAACAGTATTTAAACTCCAGACATCAACAGGGTGGTGATGCTTCAGGGAATGTTCAGATCGCCTCATTCCCTGTGATAGCAAAAGGTACAGATGGCAGTAATGAGGAACAGCAACACGTAGTTTTCCAACCTGTTCCAGAACGGTTTCCACATATTTTCTCAGGTGATCAGCTGCAGTCTTCCAAAGATCACATAAGTTCTTTCACTAATGAGCATGCAGATATAAAACAATTGCCTTTTCCTTACAAAATTGATATACCTCAAGGCAGTGGAGGCCATGTCATTTTCAAAGCCATTCCAGTACCAATTGGAGAAGTGCCTAATATCTCAGGTGAAAATCATGAAATGGACATTATTCCCTCTTCAAGCAGCAGCGAAAGTACCAAAACTAGGACTAACTACCTCAAATTTCCTTCAGATTATACTAAAGCTCGGCCTAACTATGTCCATTATGATTCAGACGCAAATTCTCACGAGAAGTTCGAAGATCCAAAAGATGGCCAAGGACAGACTCCCCATATTATTCATACGGGTCGTCAAGAACTTCATATTGTCTTGCACCCGATTCCTATTGGCGATCCTCATTCGGCAGCGAATGGCCAAGCTCTTCATTTCGTTCCTGTAAATTTAAACTCGAATCAAACGGCCAGTGGACAATATCCCTTCATGTTCCCTGTAGCTCCAAAGACTTCTGAACCCCACGAGAAGCAGAGTTCTCCTCCTGAAGGATATGATGAGGAATATTATCTCTCGAACAATAATTCTAACAGGATAGATTTCAGGAAACAGGGACACGAAGACAGCAGTGCTTCTTCGTCTTCAGAAGCAACTGATCCAAAGCATTCGTCTCGTGTCACTTGGGTTCTGAGGCAAGAAACCAAACCCAATAGACGAAAAGATGCCAAACCTTTTGACAATGAATCTGATGGAAGTATTCCAAGAATCAGCTCAGTGAATTTGCAAGACAGCAGAGAGCAAGATAAATCAACGTTGAAACTTAACGGACAGTATATTGATCTTGTTCAATTGAAAGAAGACTTAAGACATGGTACCCCGGTGTTGATACCTTTTAACAAAAAGACGCCATTCTCGCCAAAGTCTACGAAATCTAGCTAGGAGTTTCACGATTTCACTCATTATGATGCTTTCGAGTACAACACGTCGAAGTTGTTGAAAGGAGAAGTAAATACCTCTAGCGAAAAGAAATTACCCCATCATAGTTCCCAAGAGAAGTATGACGAAAAGAACTCTACACAGAGATTATTATTTTTTATTAAAAAGCCATCATCTCACAGCGGTCATTGAGATTAAAAAGTAAACCTCGTTGTCCTTTAAATCTATTTATAATGTTTGACACGACATGAACGTATATCAAATTAAAAAAAACAAAAAAACAATGGATTATTACCGTACAATAATAGTACTAGTAAATAATCAAATTGCATGTAATATTAATGCTGCGAGGTTCATAAAAGAAATCTGTTTTTCATTTTTTTTTTTAAATTTTCTAAAATGATATGAAAAAATAACTCGCACAAAAGTATTATCTGCTAAATGGATATATCTTCTTGGCTGCCATCTTTCTGAATAAGAAGCAATTCTGATTAAGTGGATACATCTTCTCGATATATTAAAAGAAAAATCAAGATATAATTCTCGTTTTAAAATGTTTAATATACAGGGTGATTATAATTAAAGTCCCACTTTCAAAATGCTGTAAAAAAAAAGAACCACTCGTTACAATGAGTTCAAATTTAAACTAAAGGTACTGGAAGAAAGGGGGAAAGGAACGGTATGGCGTCAAAAAAGTTCCAAAGTCTATTAATAGATGGCGCTGTAAGCGGCATTAATAAAGTTAATTCGGCTGCCAGTGATATTTTGAATTGAAATTACAAAGTATTTGGCATGAGTTGCACATTCAACCAACTGTAGTGCTCAATGTGCTTGATTGTTTCGATTTTTTGACGGAAAAATGATTTCCAAGTCATTTAACAGTTGTGATACTGTTAGTGGAAAGCCCATCCCCAAGGCAAGGTCATACGGTCAAATCGGTGGAACTTTTTTTTGATGCTGTACCATTTTCTCATTCTCCCATTCATTACGTATCTTCAATTCAAAATTGAACTCATTGTGATGAGTGTTTCTTTTTCTTTTTTTTTACGGCATTTTGAAAGTGGGACTTTAATTATAATCACCCTGCATTTCCAATATTGAAGATATATATTACTAAAAGATAAAAAAAAAAAACACCTCCATATTGTTCTATATTTTTAAAGTGCTATGTAATCACTAAGATTGAGCTCTAGGTCTATGTCGAAAGAGTTCATAGTCGGATTTATTTCGCAGAAAAAATTCAGGGAATATCCTAAATAATGGCAAAAAACATGTAGAACAATGAAGAATGAACTTTAACAAAGATATATACTTTTCCTATGTTAAACAAACCTAGATAATAAAATTAAGGCTTAATGCTTTAAGCCTTAATTAATTGCTTTAATTTAAATTAACGCTTTAAGAAAAACCCACATATTTTTCATCATTACGATTAATTGTTTAAATATCATTTTGAAACTGTCTTTCAAAATGATTTATTTGCCAACGAACTACTATCTCCTGTCAGAGGAATGGGATTCACTGTTGTTAATCTACAAACTTTAAAGCATATTTAAATCAATGTGCAAAAATGCTGTATCATTATTAAAAAGTGCAATTATAAACGTACTTCATAGAACATTTAAAAACAATTAAGGTGGTTCTGATTATTTCAGATATAGAAGAATCGTATGGGGTTGAGTATGCAATAATCGATTATGTTCCCAATCCTTTATGGGCAAGCGCTTTTTTATCAACAACATTAAATATTAATTCAATCTTTCCAAAAATTCAAAATATTCATTTCTTTAAATTATCTGTTTAAAAATTTTTGTTTGTTAAATCTAAACTTAAAATTTTGTATTTGATTTAAGGTCGTTTCCTCCATATAATCATTCATTAGAAATACTTTTTTTTCTTTTACGAGAATAAACATAACTACTCAGCTACTAAACCTGCGGGTTCTATTTCTCTCTGTCTGTTTGTCTTTGTATAACTAATCAAGGATGCATCCATGAAGATCAATTTTTTTTTGTATTTGTTAAAGATACAAGCTCTTAAAATATAGGCCACTTTTTACATCCATTATTCATAAATCAACTTGTCAACACTCAAATTCAACTGTCTGGATTCAATCTTATGAAAACATGCATACATCAACTTGTGAAAATATATTTACAAATACAGATGAAGTTTATTATTAGTGGTTAATTATTTTTTTGTATAATGTGCGTCCTTTGTTTTATTAATCCATTGTTTCTGTCAATTAGCTTAATTAAAAAGTTTATTTTATGATAGTATAAAAGTGAGTATTTCATTCAATAAGGTTATAATAATAATGAAGACGACACGAAAAATAAAAATAGCGATTTTTAAATTTTTTTTTTTTTTTATTATGTCAGACAAATGTTTTAAAGCTACATGATGTATTAAGCTAACTGTTTTTTCGTTATTATTTTTTATTTATCTACATTTATGTTTCAGTAAAATACATTAATCATATCTGAAATGTTATAATTTATGACTCAC